TTGGGTTGTCATGGTCACTCTGAAGAAGTTTGCTTTCTATCTGTTATAAATGACTATAATAGCCGGCATTTATTTACCAATTACTTTGGACCCCACACTATATAAATAAACTATGAACTTCTATTATATACATAGCTCCATGCTATTGGCCTCCTTTACAAATAAGAAAACTGAGAGCAAGTAAGAGGTGAAGTTCAGATTTGAAAAGAGGCAGTTTGCCACCAGCCCTGTGCTCTTACCCAGTAAATTTCAACATCATGTTGTTTAAAGAAAAGAAAGAAGCACACCAAAAAATGAAAACTTTGCCCCATTGAAATTTTACATGCTGAATAGAAATCATTTTCTAGGAAATTTGTATTCTCCTAGGCAAGACAGTTACATAATTTGCACAGTCTAGTGCAAAATGAAAATACAGGGCCTTTTATTAAAAAGTTATTAAGAATTTCAATTAAGCCCTGACCTGTTAGTTCAGTTGGTTAGAGTGTTGTCCCAATACACCATGGATATGGGTTAGATCTCCGGTGATGACATATACAGAAATCAATCAATGAATGCATACATAAGTAGAAACAAATCTCTCTCTCTCTCTCTCTCTCTCTCTCTCTCTCTCAAGTGTGTGTGTGTGTGTGTGTGTGTGTGTGTCTCAAATCCAGAATTTTTTTAAATGTAAAGAATTTCAATTAAAATCTGGGAGTAGAGCATTAAATCAAGTGTGCGGTCCTTCAACGTGTGAGGCCCTGTGTGACTAAATGATTGCACACCCATGATGTTGGCCCTATTCACAAGGTCCAGAATCTTGCATCTGTTCTTGACCCTGTGCAGCTATCTTTCTATAGACTTGAATGAAGTCTCATGACATGAAAAGAACAAAAGTACCAGAGACCTTTTATTAAATCTGTCCCAGAATCACTCTAGTTTCTCCACTGAGGGCATCCTGGGGCACTGGTGCCTTTGATGAATTAGGACTGGGGTGGAGAGCAAGGCCACCAAGCCACGGGTCTGATGACTTGTACTCTCTGAAAGGAGAAGTATAGACCACTTTTTATCTTAGCAGTTCAGGGTAGGATGGTAGCAGGATGTGGGGAAAAGAAAGAGGAAGCCCTGGGGAACTCCCACCAACCCCATAAAGAGGGAGTTTTCCATGTCTGCCACCAGAATGGTGGCAGCAACCTGTGAAATACAGCCATGTCCCTGGGTTGTTTGGAAGGGTTGGAAGGGGTCCATGTTAATTTATGCTTCAAGTTCATAAACTTGCACTGGTCATTCAAATGCTTTGCTTTGCCCTTTTATTTTTATTTTTTAAATATATTTTTGTTGATTTCAGAGAGGAAGGGAGAGGGAGAGAGAGATAGAAACATCAATGATGAGAGAGAATCACCTATTGGTTGCCTCCTGCATGTCCCCTGCTGGAGATTAAGCCCACAACCTGGATACATGCCCTTTGACCAGAATTGAACCCTTGAGTCCGCAGGCCAACGCTCCATCCACTGAGCCAAACCAGCTAGGGCTGCTTTGCCCTTTTAAATTATAAACGAAAGTGATGTTGTTGTTTTTTTAGTTTTCCTTCTAAATGTATAAAAGAACTGCATTTCCGGAAAAAAAATGTCATTAATTCTTGGACTTTGATTTAATCTGTGAAGTACATCAAAGGTAAAGTCAAGAGTCAGAGCTGGTACTTTTATAATTAAAATATATAGATTTAAACTCAGGTCCCTCTCCTTACAAATTCTGTGATCTTGGGGAAGTTAATTAACCTCTTTGAAGCTCAGATTTTTAACCTGTCAAATGAAAAAAGTTAAAAAAGAATAACAACCTCAGAGAGTTTTTATAAGCATTTATTGCATGAAGGTGCTTAGTGCAATACCTGAAATATAAAAACTCAAAAATGACAGATATTATTTGATAAAAAAATAGATACACATACATTTCATGTATAAATACATTTATATTTCATTCATGTATTATATATATAT